CCGTGGTTAATCATCAGTCAACAACGAGATGTAGTTGACCGATTGAGTATACTACCCAAATGTATCATTGCTAGCTCCCTAGATGATGCAGTCGTGTGAGTGGTGCGGACAGCGGTACTAATCGAAAGTTACCATAGCCCGATCCGTTACACATTATCGCCGGAGTATGGAAGTAGCTAGAGTAGTGATGTACGATGAAACTGATGTTTACGGGCTTTTATGAAGTTCCTGATTTACTCAACAGCATTCACAACGTCTTTTCAGTCGTTCCTATCTCCTTCCGGTGGATGGCATACACGGAGTTACGCGACAACACCGATACGAATGCACGGATTACAACGCAACATAAATGGCGAAAGTAATAATGATAATAAGGTGATCAACTTCCCTTACATAGGAGTGCATATGTATGAATTGTATCACGCAACTCCTTTTTCGTTTCCTCATCACAAAATGCCATGTCAACAGCTCTAAGCTGTAGTAAGACAGCATCTAGTTGGGTTAGGCCCCATGTCTGACAAGTTTCAATGATTTCATCACTCAAGGATGATGAGAATACACCACTATCATCAGTACATATACATACCTTATGGGCTATACTCAACCAGGTCTGCATATAGGGATGCTGTGATAGGCTCTTCAATTGTAGAGTGCATTTATTTGATGTTGGACATATCTCGATTCCGATATTCTTATCAACAATAGTGTCCTTCTGCTTCTCACTGACCCATAGAGCATGGCCCAACCTATCAGGTTGGAAGCTTAATACAGCATCAGTCTCGTCATCGCGATTAGGCACTTCAGCCACGTGCGCAGTGATCTTCAGTCCATGACATCGTGCACGCTCCAGGAGGGGTCTAATAATGCAATATGCCAAGTACTCACAACGAAGATCACATCCATTTCCCAACGACGGCGATGTTCCCACTTACATGAAGTCCCTCGTATCGCCCTTGATTGGGTTGCCAGCAACGTCCATCCCCACGAACAGGTCCGGTCGTCTAGCCCTCCATGCGATAGCCAACTTCACTATCTCTTCAGCCGCTTTGATAGTGCCAGCCCTATCAATGCCCAATATCAATCGTATATCCATTCTCCTGTGATGCTGACTCTCTTGATCCCGCCATCTATCTACCTCCTCTACCAATATATCAACATAGTCCCTCCTAGTAGGTTGGTCAGTCAAAGGCCGAGGTGCAGTCCGCAACTCTAGATACACCACATTATCGTCATATGCGTCAACCAACGCCTCACGTATAACACGTCTTAGTGCCAATGAGTCAGTGATCACCTCATAGATGATATTGAATAACTTGAATGCTCCCTTCAATGTTATGCTCTTTGAGGGAGCAGTAACAGCTATTGATGTATCAGCGCCCTTAGTCATAATCATCTCCAATAATGTAGACCTTCTAATGCAACCATGTAGATGACAGTGTAGGTCTACTTTAGGTAGAGTTCTTATCATGGATACAAGCCGCTTCCGACTACCCCGTGCCCGCAGCCATCGCCCAGTGATAGATGCTGATCCAATGAGGATGATAGTAAAAACCCCTATAGAGGCCTTCCAATGATGCCTTGCCATAGCAGCTACTCTAGGTATGGTGTCCAATGCTGAGTGATACATGTTGCTAATGGATGGTGGTGGAGCCATAGTGTAGAAGAGGATGGCATCAATAGAGAAGGCAATAATAAGAGGGATAATACAAGCCACAATGAGAGGATGGGAACAAGGGCTAAACACTGTGTCATGATGGCAGTAAATGACAATTCAAGCTTACACATCTAGCAGGCCACACACCTGATAGTTATCCACACATATGTAGGACAATAGTAGCACTACTACTACCTGACCAACCACTGTTCATACTACAGCAAGAAGAATGATGATGATAACGGGGTAAGAGGACCTCACCTGTAATCAGGACTTCCGATCGCCTATCGTATCCGTATTTGGTGGGGGAGAAGTTGGTTCAAGTATAGATGGATCAGCATTAATGACGACTATAACACTAATATCTGATTATGTGGATGAAAAGGGTACTATGGTTATTATGGAGTAGCAGTAGGTGGCGGGAACATCAAGTAGGACTATTATTAGGATGATGATGATGATACTGCTACAAGGCCCGTGAGGGAATGGTCAGTAATAATAACGAGTAGAGGAATGTAAAGAGATACAACAGGTGTATATCAAGGCATTTACATGAAGTCAGCGTAGTCGTCATACTCATCATCATACTCACCATAGCCACCATCCCCATACCTAACTTGTGTACTGTATTCAATGGGTATTATCATTATTATTACATCATGTCGATCTCGGCCTGATAATCAACCTTGGCACCCTTCTTCATCTGTGATACGTCAGTAGCCTGTTTCTTACGGTTCCTATCCTTCTCAGCCTATACACCATAATACACTACTATAGGATGTCGTCACCGTAGCCTGAGTGACTACCTTCTCTTGCTTCTTTGATGTAACCAATGCTTGTAACTCCTTTATAAGCTTAGTACACTCATCCTGGTCCAACTTCTCTTCAACCCCTCTAAGGGTATCTCGCATGAAGTTGAATACAGCTGCCTTGGTACGGCAATCATTCAGTTTACCAACACACCTGCTCACAATGATTACCTCCATCACCATCATCACCATCAGCACATCACCATCAGCACATCATCATCATCATCATTACTACCTTTCACTAAGCTGTTCGACATCCTTCAACGTCTTCAACTTTAATTCCTCAAATGAATCCTTCTCCACAACGGTAGTAGTCTCACGTATCTTCACGTGTTCAGATCCATTACCTACAATACTACTAATGGCTACCATCACGAACATTAACATTACCTTCACTAGCATCATTAGGGGTTGTCACACCAAACATGTCACATATGTTCTCCATATCGGCCTTCTCTATCTACACTACAAATCGTGACTGTACAATCATCGTCATCCTACTACTACCATCCGTTGTTGACGAGCCTTCTCAGCTACAGGATCATCGAGAGGCATATCATCAGCGTCAATCTCCTTGGTTATAGTGGTCACCTTCGGTTGGCCATTACTCTTCTCTACCTGTTGTTTGGTGGATGCCTTCTTAGTAGCAACCTAATCTGCATCATCAGCCTACAGCATTACTCTTGTATTATTACCTGTGGTGCAGCAGGGGCCGATAAGGCCTTCTCAGCTGCAGCCTCCTTATTCTGTTCAATGGTGTCTAGTCCAATATCGGCAGCCTCCCAATCATCGTCAGAATCACTATCCCATTGCTCGTTCAATTTAGATGCAGAAGTGGACATAATTACGTAACAATAATTTACAACGTCCTGCAGACACTTACCATCATCACCCACCACTACAGTTCGATTAGACCGGACCCCAAACGGCAGTAGGGCGCGCCCAGCTGATCGATTTAATTAGTGTATTCTTACTATCATGTGTCGTGCTTCATAGCAATAATTGTTATAGTTGTCGTTAGTGCATTATAATGTTCGAAGAGGAGGAGTATCCAGGGCCTCGGGAACTGGGCTTACCTCGTCTTAGTGGTCATATCACCACAAGAAATGGGAGAACTCTCAGGAACCAACAACAACTACAACAGGTAATAGTCGTAATAGGGTGATAGGGGATAATATATAGGAAATTGTGCCTATCAGAGTGGCCCAACACGCTCTAGACGTACATTGGGATCTACTACCACCACACAACGTCATCACCTTACAGCACCTTACAACAGGCCTCAACCTGTTAGTAACCATGTAGAGGATCACAATGGTGTCCATGATGATGCTAGGGAGTCGACATGGTAAGAAGGGCATTAACATGTAGTAGTATCATCAATGATGGTAATGATTAGGTTTGGCAGGATAGTGGGTATTGCTACGCGACCCTTTACTGCTATTAAATCAGTATTCCGTAGTAGGAGTAGTCAGGAGGACACATCTTCCCATGAGGATGATGAGGAGGGTAGTGAGGATGATAACACTATCCAAGTGGACGAGGGGGAAGGAGTACCTCCTCTTTCACGTACTACATACCCATCATCATTATATCCTCTATTCTATCCTGGATAGCTCCATCACACTTCAAGGAATCTCCATCCCCAACCTTTGATTTCAAACACTTTGCCACTACTACTACTACCCACCATGGTGAGCCCCTACTACCCACGGATCTAGTGTATCGTCATGTATGTGGTCATCTCAGAGCTACCTCCTGCACCACCAGTTGCTGCTCCACTTGAGAATGATGATGACCTGGTCCTCATACCACGACTCAGTAGTCATTGCAGGAGGGCACAGCCCCGAGGATCCAGTAATGATTGTGGTTATGATAGTCTCATCCCATCTGTAGTCATCAGGCCTAACGCGACGTAAACGTGATAGGTCATCACCTATCAACCGTAATAGGAGTGATACACTAGTGGAGAAGGAGGAGGAAGGATCGGGGGTATTTGGTGGAGGGGCGAACAAGGAGGAGAGCAGGTCACGGAGAAGCAGTGGATCCTACATACAACAGCAGATGCCTGCTAAGAGGATGACCCTAGGAGCTAGCAGTACCTCGAGGTTTGCTGGCCTACCATCGGTAACACCAGCAGCCCAGCAGGCTCTACCCTATGATAGTAGTAGACGGGGTAGGTATCAATACCCTATGACCACTCTACCAAGGTAGGTTATGCTTGGTAATTAGCAGTATCATAATGGGTATTAGATATACATCAATGTTATCATCGACTCCATCCCAGGATAGGGCCTTGGCTACTTCTCGTAACATAATGGCTAATCTAGACCGTATGGCGGCATCAGCAGGAGGAGGAGCAGCAAGTCATGACCAGACCGGGGGTATGCAGTTGTATAGGCCTCCTAGACCACTACGACGACGGAGGCCACCACTCAATGGGGGATCATCGATAGAGACACATACTGGCATGAAGAGTCTATCAGCCTTATTGGCTAAATCATCTGAGAACCATACACAAGGCGCATCACCCGCCGCCGCCGCGGCCGCCCTGCCCTCTGCTACTTCTAAGGCTTTCGGTATGCACTCTCCAGTGTTTGGCAGTAGTGGTATTACCAAGAAGAATACAAGCAATAGTAATGCTAATATGATAGGGTAGGATGGTGGTGGTATACCTATACCAGGTCCGTTGTTTGGTCTACCAGAGGATGATGACAAGAAGAAGGCTAGTACATCACTAAATACAGCAACTACTGCGAACAAGGAGGAGGCTACTGCCAAGAGTAGTATTACTACTAAGGTGAGTATACAGGCATCACCCTCATCATCCTGTTAATCATGCCTCTCAGGATACTACCAAGACAACATCCACTGCTGCTGCTGCCGCTGCCCCTCCTCCAGCATCAATCTTCGGCAAGGTCCCCAGCTCTAATACAGGTTCATCATCGATATTCGGCGCTAGCCTGCCTACTACTACTACTACTTCAACTACTAACAGCAGTATCTTTGGTGCCACTCCAACTGATACTGCTGCTACATCGGCACCTATCAGTAGTAGTAATGATGCTGCTTCTGCTCCTCCACAGAAGACTACCACCACCTCATCTACATCATCACTATTCACCACTACGGCACCCACCTCTTCTACTGAGCCATCAGCTCTAGCATCGTCCCTCTTCGCTGGTGTTAAAACAACAACAACAACAACATCAACACCAGCAGCAGTCGAAGAGAAGACTACTCCTGAGAAGAAGGCCAAGAGAGCTCGGTCTGATGATGATGACGAGGTTGAGGAGGTACCACCACCACCAAGTAAGGCTGCTGTCCAGGAAGCAGTACCCGCCAAGGCGGCCACTACTACTACGCCAGCCCCTGCTCCCGCTGCTCCTGAGCCACCTAAGGGGGGCTTCATCTGGGGTGATCCGACCAAGGTGAGTGTCAACAACACCTACTGCTAGAGGTAATACCTACTATCAGGTCAGCGACGCCGACTTTTTTGATGATGATGGATTCGCTCCTGATGCTGACGATGATAGTGATCATGAGGAAGAAGAAGGGGGGAATAAATCAACCCCTGCCCAGCAACAGCAGCAGCAGTCTACTGGTATAGATATATGTAACACTGCACCTTCACTGTGATGGTCCCTGTGCAGGTGGTGGTAGTATATTCGATGCTATACCAGCAGCATCAGCAAGCTCTGGATCCAAGACCAGCAGTGGAAGTCTGTTCGGCACTGGTAGCGCCATATTCGGAAACAACGATAATAAGAGTGGTAGTATTCTCTCCTCTCAACAACTGCTACTCATTGCCCATTCTGTCAGGTTCGGATAGTAGTAGTATATTTGGCACGGCCGGTAAGGCATCCTCGGGGGGCAGTATATTCGATGTGTCTGCAGCCCCCTCATCCAGTGGTGGTAGTGGTAGTATCTTCGGCAATCCCTCTACTACTACCACCACTGCTGGTACAGCTTCCATCTTTGGGACTACTACTGCCAGTATGACCAAGAAGGATGATGCTGGTAGCAAACAGTCAGGTAGGTCGTACTATACATGTCTGCCTCTATCGATCGCTGCAGGTGGGAGCATCTTTACTACTACTACCACTCAACCTTCTACTGGTAGTGCGTCATCATCATCATCATCCATATTTGGCAACAGTGTGGCTACACCCTCTACTGGGTCTATCTTCTCCATCCCTGATAAGACGGTATCCTCTGAGAGTAGCGGCAGTATCTTCGGCAATGTTGGCTCTTCCCCTGCTGCACCCACTGGTTCCCTCTTCGGCACTACTACCACTGCACCGACTAGCAGTAGTGGTAGTAGTAGCATCTTCGGGATGAGCACTACCACTCCTGGTAGTATCTTCGGAACTACTGCTGCTGCTGCATCATCATCGTCCACTGGTGAGCTTTCATTACACGTGTCTAGTTTCCCTGATGATCATTGGTAGGTACTAGTATGTTTGGTAGTGCTCCCCCTGCCCAGAGTACTACCGGCCTATTTGCTTCTACTGGACCTACTGCTACTGCCTCATCATCATCATCTTCGATATTCGGCAGTTCGACTACTGCTACTACTACCCCTTCCAGTATCTTCCAGCAGCCGCAGTCCAGTGGTAATGGCAGATATTTATGTAGTGCTTGTTATCGTGCTGTATATGACAAATAGGTACGTTGTTCGGATCGACTCAGTCGAGTAGTAGTAGTAACAGTGGTGGTGGTGGTATGTTTGGTACTACTGCCTCACCCTTCGGTGCTGCTACTCCCCAGCAGAGTAAGGAGGATCTGTCGTTGCCGTATTGCATATACCTCCAGCCTTACCAGGTTCCACGTTTGGTAGTAGTACCACGGGTAGTAGCACGATGTTTGGTAGTAGTAACACTAACAATGCAGCAGCAGCAGCCTCATCCTCATCGATGTCTATCTTCGGTAATAATATTATTTTGCCCTAGTTGTCTTAATCGTCATCAACAACTCTCTTTAGGTGCTACGCCCAGTAATAGTGGTAGTAGTAGTATATTCGGTTCAGCTGTGCCTGGTGGTAGCAGTAGCAGTGGTAGCTCTATGTTTGGTGCAGCTGGTGCCACCTTCTCTATGCCCACCACAACATCATCCCAGCAACAGTCCTCTGGTAGGTCATCACCTCCCAGCCACTGTCCAGCCTTAATTATTCATAATAGGATCATCAGCACCAAACCCCTTCGGAGCTGAACCAACTGCCGCCAAGCCTGGACGAAGGATCCTCAGAGTCAAACGTCGGGGTTAATAAGGTGGCCGCTGCCGCCGTCGCCGCTATACCGTCACTCCTCTTCCTTTCCTTACTGTTGTGTTGTTGTTATCATTATTATTGCGTATCATACTCGTACCAACAATGGTCATCATCATCATTATGATAGCCAGTTTCACGCTTGTGCTTGTCATAATAATGTTGGGCCTCTTAGAAGTGATTCTCTGTTAACATCATCCTCGATAGTAGCTATCATGCAACGTAGTAGTAATAGCAATGATGGTGGGGTTGCGACTCTCACCATTACTGCTGTGATGTACAATCTGATATGCAAGCTATGCACAATGATAGTAACATGATACAATCTGATGATGATGATCGTCGCTGGAGGTCTTTATTAAAGGCTCTGCTGCCTGCGACACCCTTGTGAGTGCTATCATCATCCTTGCTATCCTCGTTATCACTACTATTGCTACTACTACGTTGGTCGTCTTCTCCAAAGCTATCTTGCATTGAGTTCTATACTGTTCTATTGACCCATGGGTGATATAGGTTTATTGTTGGTAGCGTGTATGAAACAAGTTGTATACTGTGGGAACAATACGGCGAGCCGTATTGATGGGTGTAGAGCTCCTGGTCCCCGAACACGAGGGGCCATGGCTCCTACTGCCTATCATCCTAGTAGTGTGGCCAGGCCAGTAACACGGACCTCCTCATGTGGTGATCCCTCCACACCTGGTAATCAGAGTAACACTAGTGTTATCACTACTAACAATCATAACAACAACAGTAACACGAGGACCTCATATACAAACCCTCCCCCCACAGCCATACCGTCGCCACCGGCAACAGCAAGTCCTACTAGTGTACCAATGATAAATACTACAACTACTACGACCTATACTCTACGTAGCAATGGTATGGGAGGTAGCACATCTCTATTATCAGTATCATCTACTGATGGAGCTGCTGGGCTCCCATCATCCAATACACAGCGTCCTGGAACTCCTCAATACTGCAATAACACTAACAATCCTATCACTCACAATCCTCATAACGTAGTAATGCCCTCAAAATGTAGCGATCCATGACAACGACAAACGCGATTAGGTAGTGAGAAGTGTATCCACAACCTCATCACTGTCTGTTACACCCGCAGCGGCGTCGAGAGCAGCTGTGATAGATGGCTTGGCCCTGAGTAGTGGATCTGGTGGTATGGTGTTGGTAAGGACCAACAACCCATCCCTGTCCTCCTCTTCGTCCTCCTCTACTGGACATCAAACATCGACCCTATCAATGGAGGAGGGAAGCCATGCTCCATTGCCAACATATTGCCAACCTACTGTAGGCCGGCACTGCTATCATGTCGGCTCTCTTGTAAGTAACCATTAACCATCAGGACACAAGCCGTGACCAGCAACAGCATCAACAGTATGTTACAACTCCAACAGTAGCCCGACGACCATCAGCACTAGTCATGGCTAGGAGTATGTCGTTGGACTGTTCGATCGGCCAGCATAACAATCCTCACCAATCTTCGCAGAAAGGTAGTATCATCACCGCCAGCTTGCATCCATAAGCATGGTCCCTTCATCAGTACCCCCTCCCCTCCTCGTCCTCGATGATGGTGTCCTAACCCACGCACTACAGCCTATGCTAGATGCATTGGAGAAGAGGCTGTGTGACAGGCTGGATACATTGTAGGCTCCTTACACATTCACAGCATTGTTTTTACTCAGTCGGAAGTCCCACGAAGAGCGTATTGATAGCGTCCGAGCTGAGTAAGGTCTCTGTTACTGTTGTATAAGTGCCTATCATTGTATCAGCCTATCCGACCTTATCAACACCACAGCTGCACAGTTACAACAATACAATCATGATACTACTACAGATGGAGGTGGTCAAGAGGGGCCAGGAGTACCCTGCTCTTGTTGTTATTGTTGTTGCTCTCCATCCTCCTCTACACTTTCCTCTCATATCCCTAAGGATGCTGCTGCTGATGCTGCTGCACCAGGGCCCTACCACGATCCCCGAGCTGCTAGCTGCTGTTCCTCCTGCCATCACTCCTCCACTACTTCTAGCGAAGCATGCCTTTACTCCTGCTGCCGCCCCTTATCCCAGCATAAATGCCACAATGCTGATGGCCCCTCGACGGCCCATGTCATTAATGATAGCTGCAGCCGACCACACCAACCACCCTTCAATCACGCTCTGGTTGGCCCTCGAACCTCTGGCTTTACCGCCACTAGGAGTGGCTCTAGTCTCCGCTTCACAGAGGATGAAGATCAGGAGTCTCCCCGCATCGAGGTAACTGCCGCTGTCAGCCTCCCTACTGCAGTCGGCTTATTCATACCAGGAGGGACTCTCACGATCAAAGGCCGCCATGCGTAATGGCGGCCGAAGCTGCTCTCAAGGCTCATGTCAAGGGTACATCAGTGATTCACACTATCATAACTGCCGTCGGCCAAGTATCGCCAATAGCATTATTGGTCATGCTGGGAAGGGAGAGGTGCCCATCTGGGACCTTATGGATGGGTCCTGCTGCCAGTCTCATAGCAATAGGGATTGGCTTCCCTCTCAGGCCTGTAGACGTAATGATGGCGGCCCCCACTACGGCTCCTCCTCCTCCTACTACTACTACTCAGCCTAGCCCACCTGATGCTCATGCTGTACCTCTTGGGAAGGAACCAACAATACAGGTATCGTATCGATGCTTAAGCTTGCGCCATCTGCCGTCTCCACGTTGAGGAAAGGGGAAGGATCATTGCGTATCAACCGTCTGTCTCGTTTCCTCCTGTCCGATACACCACGTGAGGTTATCGGTGATTGGATGGGAATCCAACCAAAGCCTGCTGTCAGGAGGATATGCTGCAGCAAATCCGGCCGGTATCTCAGGTTCCATCTCTAAAGCTACCAGTGTTCTCCTCATCATCCTCGGGATCATCGACATCCCTACTACAACAATATGAGGTGGATCTTGATGCATTGCCACACAGTAGCCTCTAGCCTCAGGCCGCTGAGACGGATCGTCGTATGAGGAAGGAGGGGAAGAGGGAGAGAGCAGAGCAACAAAGGGAGAGGATACATCAGAGGCATCAAGAGCTGCAGCATGTGAAGTAAACATCGGTACCAACAACATCGACATTGTATGCATTGGATGATTAGGGAACATATGCGGCATCTTGACGAGCTATTAGCAGCTAAACGGGCAGCATTGGGCTCCTTTAATGATCATGGGCAGTCGTCCATGCAGTTGGACGATGATCATCAACATCATGCACCACCACCACCACCACCTCCAACATCTGGAACGAATGCTGAGTATCATCGTGATGATGATAATAATGCGAGAACTCAACACCTCGCCACTTCCCAGAAGGGGGAGCAACGAGTAGCAGTGGAAGTGCGAGAATGATGATGATGATGCAGATGATTGCCATACAGTGGGAGGTGGCGGCGATGCTGCTGCTGGCTGCTACGGCAGCACTGAAGTTATTGAGGCGTACATTATTGGCTTTTGTTATTGTTATTATAACGGATGTTGGTCACTTGGTTATGCATGATTATCACATACGAATTGACCATCATACATTGGTTTCATCATTGTCATTGCGACCTCCTTGAGTTGGTGTTGTTACGTATGATACTTGGTATCATCTTATTCTCATCAACTATGGGGTGTACATCCTCTATTTTCGATCTAACCGTCCCAGATCTTCAGCCCGGCTTCCTGCCGATCCTCGTTAACTGTAGATAAAGAAAGCTGGCTTCCTCTCGAAGGGTTATGATGTATACAATGCGGATAAACAGCTCTGGCTCTACACCAGGTTAAAATTATTCTATGATTCATCCTCGTGAGCCCTGCCTTGATGAATAGGTCATTGAGCAGCTTTTGGGACTCTGATCCGGACTTCACACTCGAGAACTTCATACGGGAGGATAATAAGACCGGAGGAGCGCCAGCATGACTCCAACGTCCCGAGGTGATGCTCATATCATGACAGGTTCTTGGACGACGTGCTGTTGGTAAACTTGATGAGAATTACAAGAAAGAAGTCGACTGGGGGACTGACTGGGGTGATAGGTGCGCCGTCCACCTAAGCAGTATAGTTCATGTCCAGTGGGGATTAGCGACTTCTCTCTGGACGATCTCTTCGATCTCGGCGACGATGATGAAGATCAAGTTGAAGTTCAAGGCAAAGAGGGAGGCTAGTTTTAAGAATGCCAAAGCGGAGGAAATCACACACCTGAGAGTCAAAGTAACCGCCGCGGCTCTGCGTAACGACGATGTGCCGTAGACCCTTGGGACAGGTGGAAGGGAAGGCTAGGGTGAGGGTGGCCATCGATTCGAACCCTGATGGGACTACGAGGGAACGTCGGAGTTGAAAGTCCGCTGTCAAGAAGGTTTACTATACACTTGTATGTCCTCTGCTGGTGGTCGATGAAATACTTTACACTGCTCTCTCTCTAACTTAACCTTAAAGTTAGGCGTTTTGAGTTCCTCCTTGCTGCTCTCAGACTATCAATGGTGTACAGGTCCCGGTGCAAGTGAATAATCTAAGTGGCAGAATTGGGATCGAGACTGGGACATCCCTGGGATGTCCTAGGCCACCTATGATGCCAAATTCGGCACTGATGGAGTTTTCGTCGATACCATATGTTTAGAAGCCCCACCGGCTGATGTAAGGGTCTCTTCCATGAGCAAATGAATAATATTGATTGCATTGTTTTCAGTTATTGATGATCGGATTCGCGATGCCCTATTTCATGCATCTCTGGAGCTACTTGGCTCGGACTCATAGTGCGGCTCAAACCTATGCTAGGAAGGTATTGAGGAGGCATAAGTAGCCTCACGCTCGACTTTCTTCCTCAATAGCCGACAGTTTTATCATGATCCTTGATGTGGTCACCGAATGAGCAAATATGAGCAAATGTTGTTACCTCTTTCTCCTGGTTCTTGTGTTATACAGTAGGAAAAGTCCAAGCGTTGCAAGCTTGCCACAATACAGAAGATACAGAAGGGATGTATAACATACTTGAGTCTAGTCACTTGATTCGAGTGAATGTCGAAAGGATCTGTGAATTTCGAAGCATTAGGTCACATTGATTTAGAAGACACGCTCTTGGGGTCCAATGAGTGCTGGTTGCCGCGATCTTCGAGAGCGCAGTCAGCACCATGTAGCAACAATAGATACATACGAGGTAAGGTTGGTACCAGCTGCCGAGTTGGTCTCTCACTATTGGGATGTCGAGACACAGACTGATATGTGCTAGCCATTATCGAGTGGCAATTGTCCGTCGTTTTTCAATCGTTATGTATTTTGGGTTTGATGAGTTTATAGTGTTGAGGAACTTTCATCTTTCCCCACAAACTAGAAACTCTTACTACTATTGGAAGAATACTGTCCATGCATCATACTGTCAAATATCACAATTCTACAGCAGCTTCAAAAGATAAGCAGTAACGGATAACTCTCTGATAAGCTCGACTGGTAAGTCGGTCGAAGTAGCATCGTGTTGATGAAATCATTCACCCCGAGGTGTGCTATTGACAAGAAGTGTTCATCTCCTTACATAGGACAGATGCTCGAACACGGAGATACTTCCGGCCGGTCTTGGAATAGCTATCGTTCATCAGCCCTGCCGAGACATCGGATCGAGGATGCAGCCTCTAATATGGAAAGATGAGTAGTCGATGGAGGGAGGCTCATCACTTACCTCATGTGAATCTTCCATACAGCAGAACTCGTGGGTGGCTTCCGGGGACTCCTCAGCATGCTCATCCCGTCGCTTCCTCCGCCGATCTGAGGATGTCTAAGCCAGACCGATCCACGACGAACCCATAATCCTACGCTTGTGGTGATGCTTGGCCTGTGTGGATTTCGTTGCCTCGCCTTTCCCAGGTGGCGGCGTCCCATTATCAGGACAATCGTTGGGTGTAGCATGCGTGCTGAGAGGAGGATGCTCTGAAGGAGTGATAACCACTCCTTCTAGATCACTGGCAGAGATAGGCGGTGAACCCTCCATCTTAGCCCTGATAGGGAGCATACCTATTATCCCTACTAAGGCGGCCTGACCTGTCACTGTCCTCTAAGGGCATACAATCACTGATTATACTGGACAGGGACAGCGGCCTGGGCTTAGGCCGTAGGATTACTGGTGGACGCTTCAGTCCACCCTCCTCGTGCTCCTCTTCTAGCGCATCATCATCAACAACATCATCGAAGAGGTCCCCATCAGGTGGCTCCTGTGACCAACGTCGGCTGCCATAATGACGAAGTGTCCCACCCACCTCGAATATTATCGATGCACTATCATCATCATCACCATCACCACCGAGGCCAAGGGTTGAGGTATCATCGCCATAATCAACCTCTATCGGATCATCCTCGGGGATATGTGCTATTAGACTACTCAAGGCAATACTAGTTCGGAGCATTGTAACTCCTTTCTTTTCCTGTAGTACTGCCTGTTCATGACTATTAACATCGACGGTCTCCTGCTCTGTTGTAGCATAAGATGGTCCAGGAGTGGTATCTATTAACCCGTCTTTCCTCGTCGTGACACCATCATCCGAAGATAGTTGGCCACAGCTCTGGTCAGATGTTGGTATTCCCTCTTGACGAGCCGGTGTCAATGACCCCGACTGTCCCTTGCAAGAGGAAGGTCCTCTACAAGCGTTTATCTCATGGTCCTCGACAGGTTCCTCTGTAGCCCCATGACCAGCTTCAGGCAACTCCACTATGGGGTCAGAGCCGCTCTCTTCAGGCTTATGCCTCTTCTTCACCCCTTTGGTATTTGCCTTCTTTGACCGTCGCTTACGTTTATGCAGGACCTCATCAGCTTGCACACTATCAACATCGCTCTTCTTCCTCTTCCCTCCAGCCTTCTTATTGGAGCTATGCTCATCCACAGACTGTGATTGGGCCGAGACCTCATGGCTATCCCCCTCTACTTGGACCCCTACATTGCTCCGCTTCCTCCCCTGTGAACGACCGTCATCGTGACACTGTAATGTCGAGGACATCATTACCGAGGTCATGGTAGACTTGTTGAGAGTAGATGCCGAGATAACCCCTCCGGTCGCCACAGACCTAGTCGTATACTCAGTAGTCTGGACAGCTGCATTACTACTATAACAAGAGGAAGACAATGATCCTTCGATAAGAGGTACAGTGAGTAGACTCACCTCAACTTGTTCATATACCCATATGATATCATACAGATAACAGCGCTATCCTTAATACCAGGGGAAGCCGCTGCCTTCCCAACAGGTGTCGCTACGGATTTGGCAAACTCCCCTGGAACGGTGATGATGATGATGATGATGATGATGATGATGATGATGATCATATGATGTTGATTCCTATCGTACTACCAGCAAGGGTGTCCTGAAGGGCCATTTCAGTGTGGTGGTGGTCTGCTTCAGTGGCCATAATATGACCATCCCATCGCAGATACAACTGTTGGCTCAATGGTGTCGTCACGGCTAACAACGATATGGGATAGTAGGGGGCACACTACAAGACTATCGTATATACTTACTGATAGACCTTCGTAGGAAGGTGAATACCTTGCGTATTGGAGTCTTCTCCCGCCACGATAAACTAATGATAGGGAGAATGTCGTCGTTAGCCGGCTAATGAGGCTCCTCTCTCAGTTGTTCCTACTTGATTTGGAACTTCCCCCCTCGAGCAGCCTCCCCACTATCGTCGGTAAGAACCTCTGGAGTAAGCCTTATTACGAGCCACTGTGGGGAGGATACAGTCGGATGTTGGACGATGCAGGACTTGTCGGGAGCCTGCCCATAGTGGGAGTACAGTGATGCAGATACGACCTCATCACAGTGGCCCCCCACTACCGCCGCTGCTGCCATACGTTCCTCGTGGCAGAGGGACGTGGTAGCCATGCTAGGAGGATGCACTATAAGGGGTCATGGTGACACTATCGGCACACTGCTCGTAGTTGATAATAGAGACGACGATTATGTGGAGGGGAACAACAACGATTACTATCATTATTCTTATACGAAGAGCTTGTTATACCACTTGGGTGGTCGACGGAAATAGTAGATTCATTATTATTATCATGATAAGACGTGTACGAGGCAGAGGGTACGTAGGACTGGTAGTGGGTGTATAGTCCAGAATCCAGTAGCAAGAGTAAAGTAAGTGAATGATGACGGTAAGGAGTAGTAGAGCAGAGTAGAAGCTAATGATGATGATGATGATGCATAGTGCTACTACGATGGATGAATGATTTAAAACGGGGAGGAGCCAACAGCAACAATGGTGACAGTAGTTCAGGTGGCGGCCCTCTTCTTCCTCCTTACACCGAGGAGAGGGAGTTCAATCACATGAAAGGGAAATCAATCATCAATCTTATTCAAATAATATCATTGACGACGTGGAGAGGGTCAACTTTTCGATAGATCACACTTGTGGTGGTAATATTGGAAGTATGGTGAGGCCAGCCCTTCCTCGCATGTGATGCGGTGATCTGGGCAAACTCTGAGGGCAAAGGGGATAACACCATGGAATAGACAACTGCATGATTATTCAAAGGCCATGAAAGATGATCATGAAAGGTGATATTAGGAATGATGACAAATGCGTGACAGTAGTAGTAGTAATTGTACTAGTGTTGAGCCTTACTTCAACATCCTAGTAGCCAAGTCGATAGCTATTGGGGAGGTCCCTTCAGGTAGGATATCAGATAGGGGTACTACTCTCGATGCAAGCCGCATATAGGACCTAGATGGGATAATAATGATAGGCCGATACAATGGGCCTCTACTTCCATAATGGTAACCTCTCAACATCAGGCCAACCAGTGCTGCCATCTGGTGCACCGAGTATGGCAAATATCTTGCAGATCTGGTCCTCGGGTGAGGAGCCTAGAGGGAGTGAATCATCCTCACTTCAGCAGTAGAGTTATGAGGAGACCCTCACCTGCAACGAAGGGCTTCCCACGTAGCATCTCCATTATAATGCAGCCAATACTCCACACATCAAGAGAGTCACCATATGCTGTTGCCCCTAGGATAGCCTCTGGTGATCTATACCATAAGGTAACAACCTACAGGCCTAGCAGTGGACACCACAGAGAGGGGGTCTTTACATCAATGGCTAATGGACCAGTGGGGATACCCACTTCCCTAGCCAGACCGAAATCAGCTATCTTTATGGCCGTACAGTCCTCATTGAGTAGTATGTTATGGGGCTTTAGGTCTCTATGGAGTATCTATACCGATATTAATAGGAGTATGTTACAATAGTATATTGCTGCCTTATGGCATAATGTGCAGTGATGATGGTATGAATACGTAATGTACGTCATTGTATGAGCATAGTCCCAGACTATCCCTAATAGGTTACTAATCTAATACGTAAGGATGATGATATGATCAGGAAAACATCCGAAATTGTGAGTATATTCTTGGTTCAAGCAAGGATCACAGTTGGCCTAGAACTGATGATGATGTTAGGACCTTGTTAGAGTGTAAATAGGCCACTCCTTGCAGAACTCCATACGAGATGTCCCTAACTAGGCTATCCTCGAGGCCCCCTTCCCCTAGCAAGGATAATCATTATGTCTAGTAGAGTAGTAGATAGTGCCCGCAGTACCCCCAGTAGAGAGGTCTATAAATCGTGCAAGGTCTTGATGGTAGTACTCGAATACCAGATATACGGTGGAGGCTTCCAAATCTACAGTGAAGCCTCGTAACCTGCAGCACTCGGATGAGAGTAACATCACTAGCCGAGACAGTATGAGCAGTAGTACTCCACTATATTAGGATGATGTAGTGCTTGTAATAGGCCTACTTCCCTTAATACCGATGCTGGGATGCCTAGGGACAGTATGCTCAGGAGAGTAGTAGTAGTGGTAACAAGCACCTTCTGACTCGTCCCGTAGTTTGATAGTTTTCACTGCACAAATCCTCGCATCATTTATCTAAGTACTAGATATATGATGGTAATATGAAGATGATAGCATCTTACATCTCCATCGGCCTTACTATCTTCATTATTATGATGATAGTCATCATCATGATGATGCCAACGGGCCTTATAAACCTTGCCGTAGATACCCTCCCCAACGAGGGACATCAGCTCAATAGGTTGCTGCTGTTGCTGCTTGCGATGTGTACAAATCTACTACTAGTCAGTCGAGTAATGACATTGAGCAGGTCCAGACAGTCCTGATCCAGTATATAAAAGGCATAACACAAGACATGTAGTAGATATGGGTGGGATACTGGGACAATACCTGATACCATACTCATTATCGTACTAGTAATGCTATCCTAATGGTAAGCGGCGAGGCATCTCTCAAAGGGTAATGAAGCCAAACGAGTGGGGAAGTCTTGTACTATAAGTAGGATAGAAAGTGGATGATGCCTCAGGAGGCAAGGGAGATCATGAAAGTAGTCATGATGAATGGTGGTATTGTTATTAAACTGCAAGTAGGGAGCGTAAGAGTGGTACTTGTATGATGACAGCATATGCACACCAAGAGCATAGAATACATCCTATGTACAGGAAAGGTAGGGCAGTAGAAAAAGGCATTTCAAAGGGGATAACAAACAAACCGGTGAGTATATCAGCAAACAACCAATGGAAAAGATACACAACCAAACCAACCTTCTGAGCATGCCCAGCGAGCCTTTCAGTCCAGCTCTCCTTCGGCTTAGTTAGAGGAAGGTCATCATCATCATCATCTATTGCAGTATGAGTAAGATCGGCACTAGCCTGATCTACTGGTAACATGCTGAGAGTAGCAGCACTATTAGATGTGGACTCCTTCAGTGTATCGCCACCGCCGATTGGATGGGCAGGCAGCCTCATATAGGCGGGATTCGATGCTCTATGGGAGATGCCATATTCTAGCTTGTCATCCTGGTCACGGGATCTAGATGCTCTACGACAGAGCATAGCTGAGGGGAAGTCAGTGTTGAGACCACCATCAGTGTATGTAGCAGCATAAACAACTAACAAGAACCAACACCAAGCTCCAATGACATACCACGTAACGAGACCAATCGTGTTATAGACTGGGAATCTCCAGTAATAGCCTACATCCTTACGATGAGTAGGTGTGCCTATTGCCGCCAATAATATAATCACAAACGCCTTCACAGTTCCAATAAAACGTCTGACTGACTCTGGCATGAGCGTATACCCCAATGGACGGTGCTTTGTGATCCACCGACCGAAGGAGGGGTAATAGTGCGCCTGTTCTTGTATGTTATTGCCAAAAGTATATATAATGCCATAGAGGTACCAGTAGTTGTAAAAGAGGACACTGAATGTCATATTAGACCATAGATCAGTACGCTCTCCCATACCAGTAGCAAACATAACCCATACTAGACTGAGGCTACATATGATAATGAATAGACGTCTACCTATTGGTATGAGGATAGAATAGACATAGGGTAACCATACAGGTATAGCACAGAGGCATCTACTCCATGATGGACCTGTCGAACAGGTTAGGATACCTCCTCCTAGACCAACGATACATACTAGGCCTGTGATAGCCAAGTAGCGTATGTTGGTCGGCCATGTATGATAAGGACTATTGAACCATGCAATAAGGGGATAGTTGATAAGAGATAGGAACCATAGAGCAGGGAGGAACCATAACCAACCAACACCATCACGGAAGGTAGACACAATAGACCAATAGAATGATAAGAACCCAACAGCTTCCTCCTGCTCCCCATATCGCCATGACCTAGAGATATAGGCATCAGGTACTACTATAAGGAGGTAGCCGACCAGTAAGGGTAGTAATAAACGCTGTGTCCTCTTCAATAGAAAGGTCCATAGATTGTCTTTACTATGCCCACATGCTGCACCAGAAAGGCAGAAGAACTGCCCCAGACCAAACTGCATGAACTGCCGTATCAATACTTGTATTTTATCAAGTTCCTCTGGAGTGAGATCCTTCACTGACCACTGTACTGTTACTGCAGTATGTACAAAAACCACTGCATAGATAGAGCCTGCTCGTATCCAGTCCACTGAGAAGTCTCTAGGAGGGGGCGAAGGAAGAGGAGGAGGAGAGTCTGCTGCTGCTGGGGATGTCTCGAACCCTACCGCTCCTTCAGGATCATATTCTATATTAGAAGGAGGCATCCGAGAGCCGGTCATCATATACGGACTATTGCTGCTAGTACTACTTACTGTACTACCGGTAGAGGAAGCATAGCATCCATTTGAGGAGGAGAGTGGGATCATTTCCTGAATATAGGCGTATAGGGAATTAATGCACTCAAACTCAAGAGGACATCAGGATGTAGAAATGCATACAAAAGCAGTGCCGACTACCGCTGGGGAGCATGCAATAGTAATGAGAGCATAGAGTGGTGGAGGAACTGGTGGAGGATACAACAACGAAGAATCCTCCTCTCCCTCCTAGCATTCGCCTCTAGTGAACTCATCCCATAAGAGATTAATTATAGTGCTGAAATAGGATATAGTCAATGGGAAGGTTATAAAGTTGGCCGACTGAATGTTACCCCAACTGAGCACCAAATATGCTCGGGGAGAATATCCCATGTTTCATGACCGTTGCATCCGGAGATGCATCATCAGCTTATGGGCAATCGAGTGATGGTAATAATGATGGAATAATGAGCTCTCATTCCTACGACTGGTCTCGAAAAATACTGCTAGTCTGCATGGGAAGCCCTCGAGCGTACGATAGAGATGTATGATATCCGATATATTTACCCGCGATATGCCACCAATAGCATACTGTGGTAGATAGGCAATAGGAACGTGCTCTAAGGCTAGCCATCATAGACGATCCTTGAGCGGAAGACTAAGTCCATGGGCACCTCTCCTACCATCATTTCCGAGGTTACTGAGCCGAAACGAGTATTGCTCTGCACGTTGAGAGATTTCGAACAGGCATACGATGCATCACCATCTGTACGACTACACTCACTGCAGCTGTAGTGTAAGTGGTATACCACGACCAGCCCCCTTCACACTTTCGAAAGAAGAGAGTTGCCCGCGGAATAAGTTATGATGATAGAGCCGATGTAAGACTACTATATACCCCCAATACTACTCTCTCCTCTAGACCACTACAATGGGACTATTGTCGACCCCTCAACAGGAAGAGTACTCCTGGCATGGCCAGTGTTCATGAGTTGTACCATACCGAGTGGGGACCACTCCAAATGGATAATGGTATATATGCTTAGGGCGGCATGTGGGAGAAGAGAGAGATCTCCACTGAATAAGAAGGGCATTGTGCCTAATAAAGAGAGGATGATGATGATGACATCGAATCACTACTGGGCCATACCTCATCGAATATCTACCAACTAGTGTTCCTCTCGGTGATGATGGGTGCGTTAATGGTCAGAAGCAATGACCTCTGTAGTTTGCGGTCTCACTCCCATATCTTGTGCAGCTCTTACAGCCAAGTCCTCGTCTATTATGATACTCGGCGGAGGTAATGCACATCCATTGAGCTCATTGTGGAGGAGCTTGGCTACCCTTATGATGCCATTACTACTACTACTACTACTACTACTACTACTACTACTACTACTACTACTACTACTACTACTACTACTACTACTACTACTACTACTACCACTACTACTACTACTACTACTACTACTACTACTACTACTACTACTACTACTACTACTACTACTACTACTACTACGACTACTACCGCTGTTCCTTTGCTGAGGCATTCGATAGCGATGCAGCTCTCGACAGGCCATCGTTAGTATCCCTCTCCATCAGACTCTCTGCTGACTATTATCATCCACCTCGACCCGGTACTATAGCAGTCCATGGCTCATACTACCATGTCCTCCTTACTGTCTACAAAGTCCACCGGTTCGGACTTGGGTTTCCAGCTGGAGGGTGTAGTACTTCTGCTGTATTAGATTATGATGATATACAACATGGATGTACAGTAGCATCACACCTCAACCTCTGACCATTGCCGCTGTGTATTACATCGGCAGATGACTCTACAGACTTACTCTGCGGCTCCTCTACCTGTATACTCCCACCTGTATCATCGACCCCGTATTACATGCACTATAACCACTATTATGAGGATGCTACAGATCGCTATCATTACTCCCGGCACCAAGGTAGTAGAGGAGGCTGGACCACATGACTCATCACATCCCCAATGTTCGCATTGCCTTCCAATGGTAGACAAGGAAGGCACTAAGCATTGCTTCCCTCATCAACAGTAATGTGTCCTACCCTACCACTACTGCATACTGCTACATCGCCCATACCACTATCATAACCATCTCACACGGAGCGCGATGCTCAACACGCGATCACCATCGTATTGCTATTGATGACGAGTAGTAGCAACCCATATGCTAAGATATCGTAAGATTTGCACGCGTGCGCAAGATACGGCTAGGGACAGGCTGAATGAAATTCGGGGACTTATTCCGTAGGAAACCGTGGGGATCAGGATGCTGCTGTAAGGGTTTCAGGTAAGGTGAGGCTATTTCACAAGGACTTCCTCACAGCCTCGAAAACGGAATACAAGTAGTATAGAATGCCAATGGTTGAACCTCGGCCTGTATGACATAAGAACAGTAGCTTACGATTACACCACGTATAATCCCGACAACGTCTAGATCAATAGGAGGTGCTCCCCAACGTGGTTATACGGGATGAGCGCAGTGGCAATATTATGCACACTGCACCTCCACTGTTGAAAGTACTTGCATACTCCGCAGTGCTTAGGACGTGGAACATTCTTTTGATGTGTGACGAACCTTGGAAAGAAGCCTACTGCTTCCTGTTGGAGGTACGAGCAGGACTCGGGTTTATGCTACCACTCCGAGAACGAAGTTGCTCGTATAAGCGATCTTTCCAGTCTGGAGTATCGTATGCCGACGGTTAGAGGAGTTGTGGATAGAAGGCATGAACCACTTTTGGGAACTACTGTATATGAGGACGTTCACATGTGCTGATATGGGAACATATTATGTTAACTGTTGTCAATTGAGACTGTTGCGGTATGCACATCTGTGTCTCCGTTGTCCCCATTTGTATCAGCTAAGATATTAGCTAAGCTATACCATCCCATTCGTTACTCATAAGTTATTGGTGTATAATCAAGTCTTGCTATCTGTAACAAGGCCGTATTGAGTTGCATACATCGGCACAATCATCCGAGAAGCAACTACCTCAAGCTCTTGTGTAAAGACCACTCTGTTCAACAAGTAACGGTTCAATTGCTCTATGGTATCTCCCAAGGCGTCTGACCCAGTACTGACTGATGACAATAAGAAGAGCAGTACTGAGCAATCCCCACCTGTGTGGGCTTGGCAGTTGAAGAAGGAGCTAGATTCGTTGACGGAGTCGATTGCAGGTATTAAGTCACAGCTTGAGTCCAACGCTGATCACAAGACCAGACATGATGCAAATGGTACTACTGGTGCTACTGGCGATGACAGCAAGGATGGTCCTACTAATACAGTGCATGGTATTGTTGAGGAGGTCAAACAACAGCTCGATAGCACTAAATCTGACCGAAGTGCCAAATCGTCGTTGGTGATAGAGCCTTTGGTTATCATGAAGATTAGCAAACAAGCTAAGTCTGCTGGTGTTATAGAGGGAGGCCGATTCTCTGGTGTGACTGATAAGAGGGGTTACATGATTTTCAAGAAGACTATTATGAATCAGCCAGAGATCCAATTTTCTGGCACGGGGGAGCTGTCAAGTGCTTACCAATACTTCTATATCATCAATAATGTATCTACTCCTCTACAGCAACTGATCAAGGAAGCTGCTTCATGTCTATAAGGTTTAAGCAGCTCCTTGCTGAGCACAATGTTGTCCATGTATACACGTTTGGGTTCGATGCGGCACGACGAGGTTGGCTTGAGCGTCCACATGCTGAGTTTTCATCAGTTATAAGGTGTATGACTAATGATCGTGGTCGATCTATTGAGGGTGTCAGGGACCTGAAGTGTTTGGTGAGCAAGGCTACCTATGTCGTAAACAACATCCCCTATGAAGCTGACAATGACTTATGTCCATGGCTATGCATGAGACCAACTGGTGGTCTAACGGCCACACTGTTGACACGTGACCAATCTGCTATCGCTGAAATTAAGAAATGGCTAGGATCGGGACTGCTGTATGATGATTTAATTGAACCACTTGGTTCCTTGAAGGAGGCTTACCTCAACGACAATATCCGTACTTTATCAAAGCTGAAGTCATTGTGGATCCGCCGGAAGGGCGAAACTAGAAGACGACTGGCCAAGATCCGACGTACTGACCAAGACTCTATAACAATTGGCGATACTGTCTGGCGTCGTAACCCAACTGCTGAAAAATATGGTACCTTATTTTCTGGTCCCTATGAGGTTGTTGACCGTGATGGAGCAACTATAAGTTTGAAGAAGGCAGATGACGATGTGATCATGCAATGCCCTGTAAACCAGTTGAAGAAAGGACGAAGACCTATTAAGACCGGTAAGGGTCCTACTTCTTCCACCTTCCTGGAAAAGGGTGTGCAAGTTGAGGTTGAGCCCGAAGTGCATGAGGAAGAACCTCCAGTGAGCCGAGAAGAGTTGAAGATATGGCAAGAGGCTGTTATGAATGACGGTGCTGGGGTCATGACACGAAGCCGCAAGAGGGCAGTCGACAGAGTCTCAGATATGTTGAAGTCTAACAAAATTGCTCGTAAAGAGTGACTGCTAGTATACAAGTTGTCATTTACTGGCAACTTGGGGGAGTGTGCTGATATGGGAACATATTATGTTAACTGTTGTCAATTGAGACTGTTGCGGTATGCACATCTGTGTCTCCGTTGTCCCCATTTGTATCAGCTAAGATATTAGCTAAGCTATACCATCCCATTCGTTACTCATAAGTTATTGGTGTATAATCAAGTCTTGCTATCTGTAACAAGGCCGTATTGAGTTGCATACATCGGCACATACATCAATAGGAAGGGATGGAGCAGCATTAAGCTGATGTGTGTTGGTGACACGGTGTTGATGACATTGGCTATAGGATACGCCACTTGCTCGCAATCGGCCGGGCTCTGGTCGCCGGATATCACCGATGATGCAACGGTATTGAGCACTGAGAGCGCCGTACCCTCTCGGCTCTAGAATAGGATATGTCTCGCTGTTAGAGCCCTACATGGCAGTAGCTTGGTATCGTCAACTCGGAAGTAGGCGATATAGAGTATACTGGCATAGATTTTACCCCGACGCGGCGGGGCCATGATGGGCCTCTCACACTCAGTGTGACGGTACGACTTGGACCTCAGTGGAGTGTATTGCCTTACGTGTATTGGTCGGAAGCTTTCTCCGTAGTACTGGAGTAGTGGTAACTACCATTGCCAGCTGCTTCAACAGCTGGTCACAAGGTACCTTACCAGTCCTCACCCCGGCCTATGCAGAATCTCTGATAACACCTTTTATGAGGAGCGTCTACCTCCGCTATCTACGAAGGTTCTCTTCAGTGCTACCTGGGACTACCCACCTTCCTGATCCTCTAAAGTGTGTGCCAATGCTGACACCATAGCACGACTATCCAGGTCCCCGGTCCAAGGGCCCGAGCCAGACTAGTAAACATAGGGTGAACTAAGGCTAGACCTCGACCTGGATGCTGACTACTACCCGTCATAGTACTCGTTTCCCTTGTAACGTGGCTAAAGGGTATACACGCGAATTGGTACATACTACTTTACCTTGGTAACACTACCGATGATAACACAACAGCAGTGTGCAGAACAACTAATGCATGAGCATCGGGTAGACATTGGTCATGGAGAGCAGCTCTAAACATCGACCTCAGAGCCGCCACTAACACCCAAGGAGGATACTGCTGTAGTAGTGGGACTACACACAGTAGATAGTGAGTGGAGCACAGTCGATATGCTCACCTCAGCGGAGGCATATTGGATGCCTGTATAGCCATGGCATTAACCTTATCTCTGATAAGCCTCCAATAACCATCACCAGACATTTTCACTGTTGATAAAACCAGTACAAGGCTATCTGAGCTATGATACTACCTCTGAACTTGGCGACTACATCCTTGCGTTTGGACTTCATCCAAGTGTAGGGGACGTACCATACTAAGCCTACAAGGCTTAGGGCCAACAGTGCCATGGTAGTCCTATCCCGGATGAACCGTGCTGAAGTACAATGACGATAGGATAACACATACTAGTGGGAAATAGTACCCCATGTACTGTTCTGTCGCACCAATAGGTTCTCAGGTGTATCATGTATGAAGACCTCAATATTTCCAGTAATCCCGGCATCCCTGCTATCTCCGTCATGACCATCCTAGTAGAGGTATTACTCACCGTAGTTTGGATACTATCTTCTCCTTGACCTCCTCGAAATCCGGCCAAAACACCTCCTTAGTGATGAACACAGCCTCAAGAGGGTTGCTTGTATGGAGGAAGTCCTCAACTACACAAGAACGGGAATGCCTACAATATCGTTATACTTCATCATAGGCTCACGTTTGACTCTGTCGCCTTGGTCTACAAAGCCCTCTCTTTTCACAAGACTCTCTACATCGAAGACTCTGCTGATCTCAGGTAGTCCACTGAAATGAAGCCGTGCTTTGAAGAGGCGAGCCGCAAGCCTTACTCAGCAGCAATACGTCTGATCTCCAACTTAGCCCCTTGGCCATACTGTACGAACCTCCGATAGGCGAATACAGCAAGGAACCGATCCACGGTAGGATTGGCCTCACAGGTTAGAGTGCCTCCACCAGACTGACAATGACAAGTCCTATTTTCGGATCGACTACTGTGAATGATCAACTCACTCTTGGCAAACGGGAAATGTACCCAATGTTCCTATCAGCAGCAGCACGAGCTTTGATGCAGAAATGGCCACCAACCATAGCCAGACATAACACACTCAATAGGATAAGTATCTCCACAATGGGCAAGGGTTGGATGCTGCGTCTGAGGGTATAAGATGGTGAACAGCAAGCAGAGCAACGATCTTACCGTGGCCTTGAGTCATCGAAGAGAGGGCTGTCTTTACCTCCTACCCGAGGTCTATCGAATATGTCCTTTGGTATAGGGGGTATCTTGTATCCACCCTTGGTAGGAGTATTGGTTTGATTACCAGTAGCCGGAGACTGCGTTCCATTATTAGCAGTAGTATTAGCGATGGCGGGTCGACGTGTGGTAGGCGTAGCTTCCCCAACTGGGAGGAAAGGCACTGTCGGGACAGGTAGCGACTCCTCTCCTAGGTAATGTTCAACATCGCGTACTGGTTGTGGTAGAGTAACATTGTCCAAGGACTTGACGAAGTCCTCAATGCCTGTGTACAATACCCTTGTCTCCTCGTCTATGTCATGGGCTAGCCAATTGTTAAGTGTCTGGTTGGCTAGCACCTCTAGCATAGCCAATAGCCCACCCAACTCATCGACCACACCAGTAATGGTAGCATTCCTCACAGAGGAGCTCACCTCATTCATCTCCTTCACGACGTTCTTGAAGGCGATAGCAAAGTCTTCCACAAGGACCCTAGTGTCGGGTAGCTTGGAGCTTGACTCGGCAGCAAGCCGAGCTAAGGATACTACTAAGTAAAGAGGTCTAACCATTGAGTAACAATAAAATATGAGAGAGTCGCGGTCACGACGAGGACGACCAATGCACGATGCTCGAGTTTGATGAATCTGCGCAGAAGTTGAGGAAACGCAAGTTTGATAAGCAAGGCAAGACTTCGACGACGCCCCTCGCAGCTACTACCCACACCCCTTCACTAAATTCACACCACTATCACTTTTTTGCCTGCCAAAGTGATGTTAATTTGGTAGATGTTTGTGCTACACCTTGCGTCGATAAATGCCTCATTTTCGCAGTCCACATAATTATCATGTCCATCGCCAACCGTGATGAGGCCAAGCGATGCCGGGATATTGGAATGAACGCTTTGAAGAGGTAATAGTGAGCTCATGAGTGCTCATCAATTATGTTTGATGATCATCAGTGGGGACCGGGATAAATGTATACGTTTTCTGGAGAAGTCCTTACGGATGTACGATGATCCTCATACTCATAGCCTCCTGGAGAAGGTAGTGGATGCATACTGAAGTTAGCGAATAATAGAGGGTAATAGGTACGGACTGATGGTAAGGACTCTAGTGATGCCGAGACCTCTACCAAGAGTTCGGATGCCTCCAAGACCACTACTGCCTCTCCTCCTGGTGTACGACATAGGAAGGGAGCTGAGCCCACCGGGAATGGGGATAATTCACGGACTAATAAGGATGGGAAGTCGTAGGATAGAGCTGACGGCTTGGCAGACGCTGATTAGATGTGGCAGATACACTGATGAGCAGAATCGTTTAGTGCAGCGTGTTCTGCGGACTCAGGATTATTATCAGATCCTACAGATAGACAAGAATGATGGATCTAATGATGTCGATGCTAAAGTGAAGAAAGCGTAGTAGTCTATTGTCCTCGGGTAATCATCCATATCGGCCTATATATAGGTATCGTAAATTGGCCCTTAAGTTGCATCCCGATAAGAATAGTGCACCTGGAGCTGAGGAAGCCTTCAAGAAGGTCTCCAAGGCATTCCAGTGTTTATCAGGTAGCTATCCACTATCGAAGCATCACCATTGGAGTCTTCTGTCCTTCAGATGAAGGCAAGCGTCGTACATACGATCGGACGGGTAGAGATCCGGAACAATCAGCATCCTCTTCGGGAAGCTCTGGGCGACCAGTAGGGTAGCTACCGGTATCCTGGTGGTCTATTTTCTCTTGCAGGATGACTTCATGACAGCTCAGGATATTTTTGATGCATTCTTTGGCGTACCTCGACAGAACTCACCGGTACTATATCCTTCTGGTTATTGAATATCACCCAATTTGTTCAGTTCTATGCTCAACATGCTCAACATCATCAACAACAATACCACCAGAATAATACCAACAGTATGCTCAGTGCTCTTTATGCTAGTATCAGGTCATCAGTCTCAGGTTTCAACATCCTACAGTTTTTGCCCCTAATCATGCTACTTGTTGTTACCTTATTGGCTAACTTCAACACGAATAGTTCTTATAGCCATCAGAGGTAATGCTAATATTATATTCCTCAGTGTCCATTTTACTGGATGATGAATTGTCTCGTATGCAATGCAGACTCTGTATGTTTTATCGGACCACAGTCGCATCAAAACTAACACCTTGTAACTGATGGTGAATTTCGCTGGAGGCGTGAGTTCACTGAATGCGCCCTATTCCGCTGTGTATTGGTCTAGTGTGCCATTGTAGACTGCTATCACTTCTATCAGGCCCAAGTTTTCGTTCACTCCAACAAAGTCGTATACAGTCCAGGAGAGTACTCCAGACATGCACATCCAATATTATGTGCCACCTACCCATGCTGCCAAGTACCCTGCAGGCTCTACTGAGCGACAGTAATATCATTCATTATGACTCCATATTATGGTTACACTCTTAGGAGATTTGATACCACTGTGGAAACGTCATATGTGAATAATCTGCTGGCGGATTGTGATTTCGAGGAGCGGAGCATGGTGCGGAACATCCAGCTAGCCAAGCGCCACCGTTCAGTGGAACAATTAGAGCAAGCTAAGAATACACCCCGTCCATCATGCGATAAACTGAATCGATTGAAGGTGAGTCATGATACGATGCAATGATAGATGAGCATGTTATGGTATCAGGAGAAATATCCTCGACAGTATAGACAGAGTGTTCAGTACTGGTATTGATCGTGCTAGCATTCTCTTCTATTATCGCATTATCCACCAAAGCTGCATCATTTGTAAATATTGCCACTTACCAGGTGTTACCTGGACAAGATTAACACAACTGAGTTGCGTTGTTACTATCAACACAAGAGAGGTATTCACACAGAAAAGCGATGTTCATTATCAATGGACAACTTATAACCAGAAATCAATACTGTGCATCGTGTTATTACAGCCTTTAAGGAAGATAATGATATGAAGTCACAGACGATAGTACCAGTCGTTGCCCACTATTGGAACTGCTACTGGCTATTGAAGGCTGAGGGTAATGATATTACCTTTAACAGTCGAATATTAATACACTATGTAGAAAAAAGAAGACAACTATGACGAGACATCAAAAAAGTTGAAAGTACAAACAGATCCATCATAGTTGTCGTTCTCAATACCGCCGCCATCATCGACGACTTCCCTGCTGAGAGGGAAGCCGCCAACAGGTCAGACCTCAGATACTCGTATCAGTGGTAATGCACTGCAATGGAGGGATGATGATCATTGATACCATTCTGAGTGGTACCATAATGAAGATGATATCCAACACGGCAAGACCATGATGGAGATGAATATGATCTCGAAGGTGATGAGCCCGTCCAAGATGGTGATGAAGGGGTAGCAATCGAGCTAATCGAATGTCTCGGTAGCGAACCAGGTTTACTATCGAAAGCACTCAGAATACCCCTGTCACCGATGGCTGGATTAGATGTCGAGACCGTCTCGGTTCCGGTCTCGAGTTTGCGCTTGTTCTGGAAGGAAGTGGTCTCACATAGATTACCTTGAATATTATGTTCAGGATTATGGAGAATCCTCCTGACAGCATCAGAGTCACTCATAACCACAAATCCCATGTTAGGGGGCAATGTGGATGTATGAGATCGAGTCTTCCTTTGCAACAATAGAATGGTCACAACGTGACCGTAAGAAGAAAAATATTTATGAAGGACAGTAGAGACATTAGCTTTAATCAATTGGATTTTCTTAACACATACAACCTGTTCATCAGGGATGCAGGCCAACATATCTAAAATACGCCACAACGGCCAAGGACCACTACCATCATCATGATCACCAGAACCGTACTCTTCATCAACACTATCATACTTCCTGTCACTCTCCTCACCCATAGTAGGAATAGCATCAACCGGGATGGTAGTAGGAGTAGCAGTATGCTCATTATCAGTAGTAGTAGTATCAGTCAACTCACCCTTCACGACAGACGACCAAGATATAGTAAAGTTATTAACAGGCTTAGTAGTGGTCCTCGTTGAAGATGACCTCCTAGTATTAACACTAGCAGAGTGATCCTCACTTGCACCAACAGTATGAGAATAGGCAACATCATTATCAGCACTATTAGCTGTACCCCTGATAGCATCATCCTCTGCAGTATCCTGTTCCATATTAACAGGAATGATTGTAGAATCCGCCTTAACAGTGGTGGTAGTAGGGGGCGATAAAGTAATAGATGTTGACTCTAATAGTTTACGAGCGGTTAGATCTCTGAGATTCTCCCTCGTTCTGTCCAACTGTTGTTCTAGTATACCAAGATGTGTACGAAGCCCAGAATTCTCTTCTCGAACTGATCGCAACAAGGCCTCGGAATGCTGTAAGGTTTGTAATATATCACCCAAAAGGATGTTGTCGTTGGTGTCGGTAGTGGTAACCAGAGCTGCATCAGTATCACCGTCGGCATCATCGTAGAAGCTACCACCATGACGACCCATAGTTGCCACAGCGCCACCGTCTTGTCGCTCTGCTGCTACTGCTGCCACAACCTCCTTAAGAAAAAGTTCGTCGTCCTCGAAGGTCGAAATTGGAGGGTTCATCCATACACAGTTAAACTAATAATTACCACCACATTACACTTCCTATTACGACCCCTAGTAATGACCATTACGAATTCAAACTATTCAAATGGTTAGATTTCCGCTAAACGACGCTTTGGTGACATCGCTCCGCTGAAAAAGCGCAGAAACGCGGAGAACCAGGTTTCACCAACTCGCCAAGCTTGGCGATTTCGGGTCCTAATGAACTCTCGCCAACACGCTCAATCATGGGATACGACCGCTTCTGGACCATATTTCACCTCTCTGGCCTCGATACCTAACGAATTTCACCGAGATGTGGCGGAAACTGGTTGAGGTAATCCGTAGTTTCGTTCGCCCAAATGATCTATCTCGTTCTGTGCGCACGGTTACAGCAACTTGGTATTGGTGTAACATGCCCGTGGCCCACATATTGCTATAAAACTTGGTGAACTTATCGGTATTCGCCAAGTACGTGTCGCAAAACGCCGATATATTGGTATAATCATTTGTTTATGAAGATTACACCATCTTTGGCGATATCCGCCTTTTATCGATCACGCTTGGTATGTTCTCGAGTCGGAGTCGAATATCGCCAGGTGATTTGTTCAAATCTGGTGTTGTGACAGGCTTTCGCCACAACTTATTCATGATTCCTGTCCGGCGAAAGCCGTATCAGGACCGTATACTGCCAAGTTGGATTTAACCGCATATAATGTCCGGTTAAATCCAGCTTGGCAGTATCAAGGGTGAATTCACTTACATCACTGAAGTGTGCCGCACACTTCAGTGACTCTGATTATGATTATCATGTGACATGATTCACAAGACATGGTTCATGTCTTGTGGTTGG